TGGGAAGCACAAACTCATTAAAAAAAACATTTTTATAATTGTAAACGTGACATAACTATCAAGGTTGGAGCACATAATGACTAGTCTTTTCTATCGAGGTTTGAAGAACTTAGATCAAAGGTCATGGAATGTCCGAGTCTTAATTCATTATATCAGGAGCTAGAGCAGTTTGCAGTAGAACCCTTGAGGGTCATGTGATCACGCAATGGACGTACAGATATACAAGGTTATAAAGTTTTCAGTCACTGTTATCGTGATGATAAGTGTTTGTATTTTGTAATGCATTATTTAATAATAGTTCCAAAATGCCCTCAAATTATACAATACATTAATAACTTCAGTCATTTTGTTTGGATAAGATATTCTAAACATTTTATCATTTTTTTTTATCTGTCACAGAGTTTATCTAAATGTCAATTGGAGTCAATGAACATTGTCAAAATTATTTCAAACACTCTAGCATGTTGATGTTTAATATTAACAGAGTCTACAATTAAATTGTACTAATGTTTCAAAGTAAATTAAACGACAATAAAGCTGTTTACAAGATGCATATTCCAGTTTTGTAAAAAGTTTATTTATATTGACAATGATGCAAGAAGCAAGTGAATTTAAAAAAAAAAAACATTCAAGTAAAATAAATTCTATATTATTTAAAGAGAAACGACATTCCCGGAAAACGTGCTGAAGATCAAGCATTGTGTATATTATAAAAAGTTAGGCCTGTATCCATACATAGATGATTTTATGAGCTTCGTGGGTAAGCCACTATTACGTACACTTCACGTTGTCTAGTTTAAACGTTAATCTTAATTACAAACGTTTATTTTTTTTTGTCCACTTTGTAATCCACAGGATATGTATGCATATAATCTGTAATACTTTTTATATAAAAGCATAATAATTCAACTACGTGTAAAGCAGCGTAACGTATCAGTCTGTAATGTTTCTGTATTGTTGTGTTATTTATTAAGTACAAGTAATCTGTTGTGTGTTATCAACGTGTAAAAAAACAAACCACGTTTCAATTTTTATTTAAAGATGATTGGAACACAAAAGTCATCAATCTTGTCTGAAGATATGATTTCCACATCCTCTGATTTTTTTTTTTTAAGTTAGTACTTGATGTTTACGGTAAAACAACGTTATTACAGTATATTGCCAATTTTACAGTAAGCTATGTTTGTCTTTGATAACTTTGTTTCTGATATTACATCACCATGACGCATACAACAGTTTTAATTAATAGTTCTATACTGACCCCCCCATGTGGATTTCCAGTATGGTTCGTTCCCAGTCGACACCATGTATT